TGGAGGTTGCAGGCTCTTGTCCCTCACCTGCGCGGTGCTCACCCTATCATCCGGGCTCCCCAGAGCACTGTCTGTGCGTGTTTTAATGTGCACGAGACAGGAACTGATCCGGACACCACTGACTCCCCCAGGAGCCCACATAAAATAAGTCCTTATCTCTGACCAGTGTCCGCAGCTCCCTAGTTTGGATTTTTCTTAGCAGCTGTTGGACTCTGGTTTGGGGCGGATCGCCTTCTTCAGTCAGCATCCCCTCCCTCGCATCTCCACATTTTGCTTTCCTCTCCGTTTTCTTCCTGGCGGAAGTTGTTCTGGACACTCACACCCCCGTATGGATCTTGCCGAAGGTGTCACCTGGCTCTTCTGTCAGATTGGTGTGGCCCCTGGGGCCCTCTGGATTTGGGGTTTATGGTACCCAGTGGCCTTTGCATGTCTGTGGGGGCAGATGTCTATGTCCCTCTGTGGTAGCCCCGGAATTCAGTGACTGTTTGAACTTGCCCTTTCCACTACCTCCCACACAAGGTGGCTATGAGGCCATGCCCTGGCCCCTTCCTCGGGGTAGCTTAGGAGTTTGAAAGGGAGAGGAAACCATGTGACTCTGAGTGGTTGGCTGTCATCTGCCCAGCCTTGGCTTTGAGCTGTGTGTTAACACCTATGCTTCCTGAGCGGCACTTGTGAGTTCCCCGCGACCTTGTGTTAGGAGAAATGCGAAAGGCGGAACTCAGAACAAAGCAAAACTGTGTCTTGGAAAATTCTTGAAAAAAATCTCTGTTACCCACAGTTGTCTTCTGAGTTCTCAGATGAGGCCCGTGTTGGTTCTAGTCAAGGGATGTGGTGCTTGTATGACAAGACCAGGATCTGGGGTTTGAGGGAGACCTGTGTGCCACTGAGCAGCCTAGCTGAGCTGGATGAGTGTTGAGGGTGTGCAGAAGGCTGGCATGGCAGGGGTGGGGGGAGATGATGCTCACAACCCCATTGGCCAATTGGAGAGCTGAGCACCCCAGGGAGCCTCAGGGTCCCTATGCAGCAGCCTCAGGTGATCCAAGGTGGTGGAGCTGGGAACTGTGGGCTTTGTAGAGATAGGAACCAGGTCTGTGATCTTGTATGGAGTTGGTCTCTGTGCTGTGACCTGTGTGCCAACATCATTTTCATGACTTCCTGTCAGTGGGAGGCGGAACCCTTTCTCATGGGAACAGTGATTCAAACCGGAAGAGCTGGTGGCTTCTCCCTGCTCTACGCCCACACACCAATACCAGGCGCTGTGGAAGGTCTGACTAGCCCCGCTATCAGGGGAAGCTGCCCATCATTCCCACGCAGCCTATCCTTCCATTCCACCTCCCCCAGCATGGAGGCTACCATTAGCCATGGTCCCTTCAGACCCCACAGCCGGAGACCACACTGCTCTGTGACCCAGGGCCCTCAGGACCCCAGCATCAAGGAAAAGCCACACACTCACACACACACACACACACACACACACACACACACACACACACCTTCTTACAAGAATTCTAAACAAAATCTAAATTTGTTCGAAACCACTGAATGCTTGCTTTGAACATGCTGAGAGGAGCAATGTGTGCTTGACGTGGTGCCTGTGGGACAGAAGGGGCACTCCACATCTGTAGGGCTGACAGACTCTAGCCAGCAGCCTGTGGGACAGAAGGGGCGCTCCACATCTGTAGGGCTGACAGACTCAAGTCAGCAGCATGGCCCAAACACGGGCGGCTTCACCTCCAATCTGCTCGTGTTTTATTCTATAATGTGTTTCTCTTAATTTTCATTACATACTTATTTAGTTATTTTGTGGGTGTGTCATAGCACACATGTAGATGACAGAGGACCACTTGTGGGATTAGATTCTCCTCTTAAACCATGTGGGTCCTGGGGATCAAACTCCGGTCTTTAGACTGGGAAGCAAGTGCCCTTAGCTACTGTGCTATCTCTCTGGTGCTTAATTTGATTTTTTAAAGATTTACACCTTTAATCCCAGCACTCAGGAGGCGGAGGCAGAGGCAGAGGCAGAGGCAGAGGCAGAGGCAGAGGCAGAGGCAGAGGCAGAGGCAGAGGCAGAGGCAGAGGCAGAGGCAGAGGCAGAGGCAGAGGCAGAGGCAGAGGCAGAGGCAGAGGCAGAGGCAGAGGCAGAGGCAGAGGCAGAGGCAGAGGCAGAGGCAGGCGGATCTCTGTGAGTTCGAGGCCAGACTGGTCTACAGATCGAGTTCCAGGACAGGCTCCAAAGCTACAGAGAAACCCTGTCTTGAAAAAACAAAAACAAACAAACAAAAGCCAAAGATTTATTTTATTACTTGTGTGTGTATGTGTGTGTGTGTGTGTGTGTGTGTGTGCAAGCATGTGTGTGCAAGTGCCAATGCCTGCAAAGACTATAGGTGGTCATGAACAGTCTGACATGGAAACTGGAGATCAGACTCAGGTCCTTTGGAAGAGCAGTCAGTACTCTTTACCACTGAACCATCTCTCCAGTCCTGGTGCCATGTGGAGTTAGCAAGGCCTGACATGCCCTCTGTGGCGTCATCAGATTGTTCACCATAGATGGCAGTTTTGGAACACAGAATGTCCTAGGCACATGGTAAGAAACAGTGGAGTCGCAGAGCAGCCAGCCTTTGTTGGGGTGGGGGCTAAGCCCCAGAAGATCTTCAGTAACATACAGTACCAATATTAAGCAGATGGTTAGGGGCCAGATAGTCCCAGTTTTACTTCTGGTAGACCAGAAGTATTGTTTTCACTCAAATGTGTTCTTTACATACCATCCGCTGCCTTCTGCTTTGAATTCAAGGGTTGTATGGAGAAGCAAACAGCATCACATGAAACCATTCTTGGGGAACAGTTTTGAAAATAAGTAAAATATGTCAGGCTGATGTTATGACAAGTTGGGACCGGGACAGGAGGCTCCCTCATATCTCAGGAGAGTCTAAGGCTAATGCTTCAAGAACCCCAAAATGCTGTTCCTGTGTTCAGGGTGGGGCAAAGATATAGTCCCTGATTTAGTTATGTGGACATCAAGTCAATTGCATTTATGCTAGCCATGGACTAGGTAGTAATCAAAGTCCAGCTATAAAGTAATATTTGTGTAATAAAATGTGTGATGATTAAACCACTTTTTACCAGTGCAATAAGATGCTCAAAAATTTGATCTTTCTTTTTTGGAAAAAAACCTCAGGATACCAGATTGTATGTTTTATGTAAGATGCTTGCATATCCACACCTGTTTATTTAGACAGTGTCTCTGGATCTGTGGTGTGTTACAGGATTTTAAAGTATGCAGGTAACTTCAAATGACGTCAAGTCAAGGGCTCTCGGGGCCCTGCCTAGCCAGCTGCTCCCTGGGTTGCATTGAGTGTGACTTTCAAAGGGGTGGAACTGAGCTGAAGGTGTGTACAAATTCTGGGTCAGTTAGTCCTGAGTGCACATCTCTAGCAGGCAGTCCCAGCCCCTGCCGATGATGTCAGAGTCTCTGTGGGCAGCAGAATCATGGTGACACCCTGCAGTTCAGGCTCCAGGAGGGTGACAGTGGGCAAATGGTATTCGGACAGTTTCCTCCTCCAACCTGGTCCCCATCTCTGATCCAAGGCACAGTCCTGTGTAGTTGGAGAGATGTCTGATTTACAGTGAGCATTTCCAACCAGAGTTGACAGTCTTTTTTTTTCTTGAGACAGGGTTTCTCTGTGGCTTTGGAGGCTGTCCTGGAACTAGCTCTTGTAGACCAGGCTGGTCTCGAACTCACAGAGATCTGCCTGCCTCTGCCTCCCAAGTGCTGGGATTAAAGGCGTGCACCACCATCACCTGGCCAGAGTTGACTGTCTTAAATGTGTAAGTCACCCTTCATCCTAATCCTTTCCACAATTGTCTGTCTGTCTGTCTGTCTGTATCTCTCTCTCTTTAAGAATTTCCTAGGGATTGAGACTTGTTCTTTTCATTGTGAAGCATATGTTTCTTTTTCTGTTCACAGCAAAGCATAGTCTTTCTGTGAGGATATAAGAAGCTTCTATGCACACATAAGAAAGAGCTACAGGTGTGGACTGCTTTGCAGCGCCTCCTCGCCCACACCTGGCTACCCATGCTGCCGCTGGCTCTGGGAACACTTCCTCTCCTGGAAGCAGGAGGCTGCTCCAATCCCGTGGGCCTCCTTCCCCAGGATGCCAGCCTCCCTCCCCGTCAAACCCTCTGCTGTGTTGCTTCTCCTTCTGCCTGCCGGCTGCTGGAAACGGGGTGTGTGTGACATACACAGGAAATGGCCCTGACAGGCATCGTGTGAGCTGCCACCGCGCATGGCAGCTCTTCCAGCACCAGGAAGCCTGTCCCTTCTATTAGTGATGCTGCCCTGAAGCCTCAGCCACCGAGCCTGGCTCTCAGCATTCCTCTGTGTTAGGCAGATGCCCACACTCTGTGCACTTACCACCGTGTGTTTGTGAGTGAAGGCCCTGCACCATCGCCCAGCTTGTACCCGAGTGGTGACAAACACAGGTGCATCTTGTTAGAATTGAAATGGAAACAAGGGACATGTCAGTCTGAAGGAGGGAGTGGGCCCAGCAGTTCCATCTTTCTCTTGAGTCTGCTGTAACTTACCTTGCAGGGCAAGTTATCCCCAGAGCCCCCCATTTGGTCAAGGGTGCCTACCAGGGCTTCCCCTAGAGAAGGATGACCTTTACTGTTCCTAGCGAAGGGTACCCAGAACCCTGTATCCCATTGGTGGTTCTCCTGGCTACAAGCAGGCTGTCTGTGCCTCTTCCATTGCTCTGGGTAGTAGATTTGGTTAGCATTTTGAAGACTGACTGATTTCTTTTATTCATGAGGCACTGGCAAGCTGTGACCACACATGGTGACGTAGTCACTATGGCCTTATGGAGACTTTCCTTCTCGTCAGGATGCTGAGGGTATCGCGTTGACAGCGGTGAGCACTGATCCACTGACGGTGCCTTGGGTACAGCATGGACGACTGTGTCTTGATGTCTACCTATGCTTAAAGCTCCTCTGTTCTTTTGCAGCCCGTCTTTGCCCGCCCTTGACTGGCAGCTGCCATCCCACTCTGGTCCATATGAGCTTCGGATCGAGGTGCAGCCCAAGTCTCACCACAGGGCTCACTATGAGACGGAAGGCAGCCGGGGGGCTGTGAAGGCCTCAGCTGGAGGACACCCCGTCGTGCAGGTATGGCATCTGCTGTGACCTGCCCATAGCCCGTGCCTTGGCGTTTCTCAGTCTAAAACAGTTTTGGATCTGCAGCTAGGGACTTTCCTCAAACTGTAAACACAATCACCCCAGAGCCAGTTAGTTAAACGTTAGCTATGTACCATATCCTATTTCCTTCTGAGTAGGGATACTCCTTATCTTCAGTAAGGCTATGTCCCCAATGAACCCTTGAAAATGCCAGAAGTCAGAATACATCCATGTACCTCACTGATCATGTGTCTTTTCAGAGGCACAGCATAGGCAGAATGTCAGCCACTCCTCTCGTCACAGAGGGGCTGGCTGAGCAAAATTCTAAATTTGAAGTGTAGTTTTGTGTATGGGTATCACTTTCATACTAACAGAAAGTGAAAGGGGGGATGATAAGTGGGACCGAGGAGAGTCAGGAGCTATCTGGGGTGCTGTACAGTGCTTTTCCTTGCATCTGTAATTGTTTTAAAGCTCACCCAAAACAGACTTACTACATTGTCTGGCTCCATTGTCTCAACTGTTCTGCAACTGTATTCTTCTTGTTGCAAACTCTCTGCCCCTGGAGCAGACGCATACTCTCCACCCACACTGCATATGTGGGGTTGGTGGGCAGCCGGTGCTTGTGAGCCTGCCTTAGGGGTGGGGTCTGAGGGAGCAGGTGACGAGATGAAGTTCCGAGGGGAAGGCGGATGAAATGGGCACAGTCACGCCTAAGGACCTTTGGGGAAGGAGAAGTACCTGCTTAGAGGGGAGATGCGTTGCTCACCCTTGCTGGCCAGGAGGAAACTGGGAGGTCCAGCAATAGCACAAATCTAGCTTACCCCTTCTCCACCTGGACGTCAGTGTGACATCCTAGTGGGCTGTCCCCCTGCTTCCCCGTGTCACCTTGTGAGCTTTAGATCCCCAGACATTGCTGTCTTAAGTGGCACAGAGAAGTGCTTGTTTCTCTGCCTAGCTCTGGTCACATGGTGTTACAGAGAGCTCTTTACCCCGACATCGTAAACCCAGGTGCCCAACCCTGTTATTTCAGGACTGATGCAAACTGGAAGGGGTACTCAGTAGGGAACCATGTACTTTTATTTTATTCCATTTAGGTAAATAAAAAGCTGGGAAAGGCAGGAGGCCATGGACACAAATGGCTGTTTGCCAACGCAGCAATCAGCCACATGGAATGAGCCAGGCGAGGTGCAGAAAGGAAGCACTTTAGCAGGGCTTGTGGGTGATATTAAGGTGATATTTGTGGCCCGTGTGCTTGATGCCAATTAATACCTACTTTGTTAGCGGCTTGATGTGATAAAATGCAGGGGACATCAGTACGCAGCAGCCGGCTTGACATTTTAAGTTTCTGCCTTCCCAGGTGGAAGTCAGGTAGAGCCGGCCTTCAGCTGTGCAGGGTAACTACAGGTATTTACCTCTCTTTTCCTGCTGTGGTCCTCGCTGAATGAAAGTGCATTATTGCTGAATGGAACAGGTTTTAATAAGAGAGGAAATAAGTCCCTTAAAGAAATGCAGGAAAGTGGAGAGATAATGGCCAAGTTCCTCCACTTACTTGGATCTTATAAGCAAAGGGCACTGGGCGAGTGCCGGGGGGTGCAAATATTGTGCCTTCATCAGAAAGATGAAGCTGTGGATGCGAGTCTGTTCCTTTTTGGGTTTGGCTGATGGTGGTTGTAAGAATCTCAGCTGCTTCGGGGGAGTGTGGGGAACCCTGTGTTTGGAGAACTTCTGTCTGCCAGCCTCTGATATTCGTTGCCTATGTGTCAGGTGCTGAGTTGGCGTGCTGCCCCGGAGAACCCGGCTCCGGGCATCTTGGGCACGGGGCAACATTTATCTGTCAGTGCAGGTGGTATCCAGGAAATTGAGGCGTTTCTGAGGAACGGTGAAATTTAAAACAATGTTTAAGAAGCACCCTCTAAGTTATTTAAAGCGGTGTTAAGAGAAGGTGGCAAAGCCAGATCAGACCAGCGCTGCTTCCACTGAATAGCAGCCCCTTCCTCAACAGTGTTGAAAGGCAAAGAAAAACAACCCCTAACCAAAAGTGCCAGGTTCTGTCACATGTCTCATTGTGAGAAATTAGGAACCCAAGGAGTTTTCTGGAATATTCTCACAAAGTAAACGCACACCTATGCCAGTGCGAGGCAAACAGCTAAAAAGAAGGCATTTTAGGGGATTTGTTTTCTTTTTTTGTTGGTGGACCACAACTTAGATAAAAATAGAATTTGCACGTAATTATGAAACACACAAAAATAGAAGATTCTCTTGGTTGCCATGAAAGCGCTGTAACCACAAAGTTCTGCTCCAGGCTTCTGGGTTATTTTGACGCACGCTTTAGCGCCATCAACCCTGCTGCCTAACCTTGCTCTCAGAGGTGGCTCCATTACACAGCACTCTGGGCGAGGCCATGGACCAGCCCACACGTCCGGCCACTGCCCGAGCCGCACGGGCCGTTTTGTGGCCAGTGGTCTCTGCTGTATTCCTGACAGTTCAGGTCTTCCGTCTCATGCGTGAGGCCCTGAAAGTTTCCGTTCGTTCAGTGCTGTCTCTGGGGCGTATCCAGCGCCATGTTTTCCTCCATGTCTCAAGAAGTTTGTCCATAAAGACAGCAAGCAGCGTCTACAGAACCGAAAGCCCCAGTGGAGGCCAGGAGGAGTAGGGCAGAGGGGTGGAAGCTGCACCTGCCCTAAGACCTGGGGTCCAGAAAGAGGCTGGGGTCAGTGACCCTCTGCCTTGTGTGTGTTGTCCCGGGAACACAAGGCCAGACATACTGGTAAGAGTCAAAGGTCATGCACTTCAGAAAAGGAAGGGGCAACTGTGCCTAGCCTAGCTTTGCTTTCAGTGGAGGGGCCAGTATCTGTAAGGACCTGCTTAAACAGTCAGCCGTCTGGTGGGAGGCTTAGGACCTTCACTGTGATCTGTGTTCTCTTCTCGAGGCTCTTTGTCCATCCCCCCCCCCCCGCCCACCCCCGCCCCATGGTGTCACATCTGCTTTTGTCCCTAGATGTCTTTCTTCATGCTAGGATCTAAGTATCCGAAATGGCCACAGGCTCCCACTAGCCGTTCCATGATCACCAAGCTACCCAGTCTTCAAGAACACTGGCTTTATACTCTGATGTTATCTAAAAGAGATGTCATGCCAAATCAGACTGAGCAGCCATGGGTTATTCTGGACTCAAGGCTGGTAAGGGCTTACCTGTCGGCTTTCCTGGCAGCTCCCAGGACCAGTTCAAGAGCCACCTTGCAGTGTCTAGGTGGACATGGTCCTCATAAAGTCTGTGAGGAATATCCTTGGTGACGTGGTAGCTCCCCTTCCCTTCCTCCAGTACCACTGTCTTCCTTTAGTTACCAAGACATGGGCTCCTACATCTGTTTAAGTGTGCTGTGGTCTTACTTCCAGTGTCACACCGTAATCAGTGAGAAAAGGCCCACATTTTCCTTGACTGTGCAGCTTGCCTGGGTAGAACTGAAGTCTCAGATACTCTAAGGTGCAGGCGCCTGCCTCTCCCGCTCCCCACAGTGAGTCTTCATTAGTGAGCTGCATCCCTACCCAGCAAGGACCCTCCTGACCTTGATGCGGCCTCTGGCTGTCAGGTCTCTGTCTCTGTTGGGTCTTGGCCACCACTGACAGAAGTGGCTGAGGATCTAAACTCTCCAGAAATGGGGCAGGGGATGTCTAAGTTGGCCTGGAGCGAACTGTGGCCTTGTGGCTCCTTTCTTTAGGGGCCCCACTGTGGGCTCCTTCCTTTAGGGGCCCCCACTGCAGCAATGTGGTCCTTTGTGGTCAGAAGATCACCTCCCACCCCGCGGGGGGTCACAGCATCCAGCTCTGCTTACCAATCGCCAGAATGACTTGCCTGATAGCATCTTTGCATCTCACACAGGCCCGCTCTGCTTGAATAATTAATAGGCCACTGAAATATGAACACTCAGAAGCTGGTCAGTTCCTAACATTTAGGTTTGCAGCATGGGGCTTGCCATTTAGGACAGTGACCAGCATGGCCCAGACAGGTGACCCTGGACTCAGTGTGAATTTAAGTAATATACTCTCAGGACACAGACAGCAGGTACTTGGGAATCTGAAGAAACAGGGCCAGAGTCATAAGAGAAAGCCATGATAAGCCCTGGCATGTGCCGAGGCACAGGGACCAGGCAGAGACCAATGGGATCTCATGGCCTTAGGGACCGTTCGGAGGTCACTTTGCTTGCCCTCCCCAATTAGATTCATGGCAGATGCTTTTTCTATCATACAAGACATTTGACTGCTGAGGACGTCTACTGGGAGATGACTTGCATTTCTCAGGGTGTTAAAATTGTCTTTGAGCCAGGCTGTTGTTATAATGACCTGTCTTTCTTGGTGGTGTCTTTCCTCAAGTCCCAGGGGAAGTTGAGTGTGGTAAAAATACTATGAGAAGGGGGTGGGTGACGGGGGCCTGACCTGTGGTCAGAAGGTACCTTATCATTTGGTTTAGTGGCCTGCGATATTTTGTCATGTGTGAGCCTACTTCCCCCAGTCTCCCAGGCCTCTGCTCTGGAATATACACACCTGGAAGTTAATAGAGCCAGGGTCCTCCAAGAGCCAGTCGGGTGTTCTGGTCAAAGCAGGGGTGGGGGTGGGGTGTTAAATGCAGCACTTTGCTCTGCCTGTGGCAGTAAGCACTTAAAACATGCATATCGTAGAGGTTAAACTGCAGCTGTGACCCCAAAGCAGAAGCAGTGCCGGCCAGCCTGCATGAGGTCTGGATTAATTTTTTATAGGTCAGCCTGGACAGTGCACAGAGTCCTCTCTCCTTTCAGGACATTTCGTTGCAAACACTCTTCCATCTCTGCCCTGACTCTCCTGTCCCTGCCCTCCATGCACAGGCTGACTCTCCTGTCCCTGCCCTCCATGCACAGGCTGACTCTCCTGTCCCTGCCCTCCATGCACAGGCTGACTCTCCTGTCCCTCTCCTCCATGCACAGGCTGACTCTCCTGTCCCTCTCCTCCATGCACAGGC